ATTCGGGTCATGTTTATCTGTCTATCTGAGTGACATAAGTATTGTAGAGCTAATACATTGGAAATAAGTAGTTTAGAGGTACTAAGCCAACTCACACACCTAAAATATTTTTCAATTTTTTTATCTTGAAAATAATTTTACAAGCCAAGCAAAGTGATTAAAATGTTGTTTAAACCTTTTCCAAACTATTTTTGAATGAACCGATTAATTATTAAATTGTGTCAATCGATTGGCAAAACTTTTTTGAGCTTGGAAATCGATTAAAGCTTAAGTCAATCGATTGGAGAAGAGCTAATCAATTATCTAAGAAATTATGACAACACATTAATGACTTGAAACGACTCTATATCCAATATTTTCTATTTGGGCGTGCCAACCGATTAAAAATGAGATGGTCAATCGACTGAATCTTTGTGCCAATCGGTTGCCTCATAAATTCTATCCATGGATCATTTTCATTTTTTATTTTAGCAACTCCTATATTTAATTTTTTAGTTGGAATTTAAGTCTTTATTCTCTCTCTCTCTCTCTCTCTCTCTCTCTCTCTCTCTCTAGGAATATTTTTTATTTCACTTAAAATTGTCATAGTGCTTTTAAGTGAACCCTTGCTTATGATAAAGATTTTGTAAGTGGTTGTGTTGTTTTAGTTTACTCTGGAGAGTGTGACTCTCTTGATAAGATTAAGTTTGGTTCTTGGGATAAACTAGTCGTAAAAGCTATTTTCTTGGTTTATTGAGCTCTACCGGAAAAAGCTTTGTTTTGGTTATTGAGATCAACCTGAATATCTCTAAGAAGGTTAGTTAGGTTAGCTAGTGGCAAAAGCTATCTTTGCTTGAAATTTAGCCTATAAAAATCTCAAGATCAGTCTGTATTATTATTCGTGGGCATAACCTATAAAAGATCAATAATTTATAGTCAAAATCTCAAGAAGACTTCTTGGGGACATGTATAGTTGAAAGTTTGTAGTCATAACTTACCCCCTTTCTTGTGCTTGAAGTCACTTGTCCAATAATATTTCCTTTAACAATATCACTAAAAGTAACATAGCTATTGGAATAAGGTTTTAACTTTTTTAAGTAATTCTTTTCTCCAGTCATTTACCTAGAGCAACCATTATCAAAATACTAATTTTCATGAGAGGAAGCCCTCAATAAAGTGTGGGGAATGTGACTTCTAGTTGTTTCTTTGATTTTCCATACTTATTGTGACGACCATTCTTTAAAGTGTTCCTGGTGGGATGGTGCTGATAATTGTAGTCAGGTCAACCATACAATTTGTGGCAAAAAGGACTTATGTGGCCTCGTTGACCCCAATACTGACACACCCATGAAGCTCTGTTGTAGGCATTTATGTGATGGTAATAATGTCGTACAAGATGTTGTGACATATAGTATGACGTAATGATTCAGTTCTTTTGGCAGGAGGTATGAACTTAGATTTTGCATTCAAGGATCTATAGTCGAACCCAATTTTTTCCTATATCTTGCAGTCTTTCCCAACTTTAAAATTTTGTCAAGAGTTTTAGAACTATAATTTAGCATACAAACTGATTTGATTATACCTTCAAGTTTGGAGTTCAAGTGGTCAACTTCTTCCTTTAACTTAGTGATAGTGGTAGTAAGATTTTCCTTGTCTTCAAGTAGAACATTGATCTTAACTCTTTGTTTATCACCATATATGCATTCCTCATTCCACTTAAGATATAACAGTTGGTAGGCTTCAACAACATCTTTATCTGAGAGTTCTTAAATACTATGCTCTGTATCATCATGCATAGTTGATTTGGATCTTTATGAGCTATAAAAGCAACCACACAATTTCCTTTTCTCGTTCAATATCATTTTCTAATTCCTTATCTGACAATATGGTAATGTATGCATTTTTTTTTGTTTTCTAAGGAAGTTGGTACAATCTTCCTAAATGTGTCCAAATCCCTCGCATTCATAACACCATATCCATTTGCCTTTGTTTAGATTATCTACTTCACTACTTTTATGTTAAGGATTGAAACCTTTGAAATTGGGTGGTAGATTGTCTTAATCATTAGTTGTGATATTATTCTTTGGTTTCCTCTCTAGTTTTCTCACGATGTTACCAAATATTTTTGGAAGAAGTGCAATGGATTCAGTTAGGTTATCATCAGTGTCTTCTTCTACGTATTTATCATCATCTTCCATGTCAGCTTTGAATGCCATGATTTTGTTTCTTTTCTCTAATTTGCGATTGATTTCTATTTCAAAAGTGAGTAGCAAGTCAATGATTTTATCCATTTTAATACTGTTGATATTTTGCGCCTCTTCAATGGTTGTAACCTTCACGTGAAACCTCTCATGAAGAAATCTAAGAATTTTTGAAGCTAGTTTTTCTTCTAATATTTTTTCATCAAGAGCAAATGAACTATTAACTATGTCATAAAGGCAGACATTAAAATCAATAATACTTTCGTCCTCTTTCAATCTCAGGTTTTAAAATTTTATAGTGAGGAGTTGTAGTCTTGACAAGCGAAATTTGAAAGTATCTTCAATTGTAGTCTAGAGAGTCTCTCAAGCTTCTTTGGCATTAGAGCAAGTATTAATGAGCCTGAAAATATTTTTGTCAACTTCATTGTAAAGGGAATTGAGAGCACGAGAGTTGTCATAAGCTTCTTTATCTTCATCTTTTGAACAATCACTCTCAAGCTTTAGGGATTATGTGTCATCTTCAACTGTAACCTTTGGGGGTGTCCATCCTTTTATGACTACTTTCCAAATTTTAGTATCCATATGCTTCAGAAAATCAACCATGCGAGCTTTCTAATAATCATTGTTTGTGCCATCTAGAATAGGTGGCTGATTTACAAATCCTCCTATTTAGCATTGTCAATTTCGAATAAAATATATAGACCCCCTGGAGCTCACCCTAACAGAACAGGGTGTCTACACTAATGTCAATTGAAATTCTGTTAACTGGATACCAAGATGTTAGACACAATATTGTAACAATGTGTATGACATGTGTAATGTGTAATCAGCAAAATGAAAGTAGTAAATAAAATAACAGAGAAATTAGTAACTCAGTTCGGCGCAAAGCCACATACGTCTAGTGGATGTTAGTCCAGTGAAATAAAATTAACTCTTAATAGTTAGAAGTACAAATTAGTCTGATTTGAGCTCTCTTGGTTCAATGCATATTTTCCTAACATTACTCATGAATTTCGATTCAAGACTCCCCCTAAATTTGACACCCATGTCACTTTCATTTAAACACTCTTCTTAGTGTTTGAACAGTTACAAATGTTTAAAAATGATAAAAACGAAATTACAACTCAAATACTTTATTCCTTTAACATAGAAATAAGACTCGAGATATGAGCATAATAAAGTAAAACAAAAAGACTCAACAAATCAAACATGCCTAACTTAATTGCGCAAGAACTGTCTTTTCACAATAGAGAATACCTCTTTAAATAACAATAAGATTTAACTTAAAAAACCATTGGAGTTTTGGTCTTTACACGTGGCTGAACATCCCAAAAGCACAAATAACCAGGCTTCTATTATGTTGATTGAAAACTTATTTGTTCTATTGTTAAATTGAAAAAATTAATCAGTTTTAATTTTAAGAAAAAATGTTTTCAGAACCTAATTTTTAGTTTAAATGCAACTTCAAAGTTTACACAATTTGTACTCTAATTGTATGTTCGATTTTATAGTTGAAACAAACACAATTGATGATGAATGTGTAAAGTATGTTTGCTTTCTCTTAAGTATAATTGATTATGTTTTTTTAGAGTTGATTTTACTTGAAGTTAAGATTTTAGTTTTTAAATATAAATGTGATTTTTACACTGAAATTTACTATTTAACACACTTATAAGAATTTATCAAAATATAAATCACTTTACTTTTAACTCACGTTCAATCAAAATCAAGTTTATATAATTAGTTCATTCAAAATCAATTCTCTTCATCACAAAACGAAACATACTCTAAGCGTATGTTTGGTTCTATAGTAAAAAAAATTGATTTTCAATAAATTGATTCTAACTAAAACTTAGTTGAACGTAAAATAATTTATGTTTAGATGCATATTTAAAAAAGTGAATTGAATAGTATATTTCAGTGAAAAAATCACATTTAATTTCAAAATCTATAAATCTCAACTTCAAGTATAGTCAATTTTTAAAAAAAATATTTATTTTATTTGAGAAAAACCAAACATATCAAAACCAATTCTACTCATCCCAAATCAATTTTGGGTGCTCCAATCATAAAATCAAACATACACTAATTTTAGTGGTTTCACATTTAGAACACCCATAATTGATTTTGAATGTGTAGAATTAATTTCGACATATTTAATTATTTTCAAATAGAATTGATTATACTTTTTAAAATTGGTTATACTTAAAGATAAAAAATTTAACTTTACAGTATAAACATGATTTTTACACTGAAATATCTCATTCTACTTATTTTTCAAAAAAAAATTACTCAAATGCAAATCACGTTGTCTTCATTTACTTTTATCCAAAATCAATTTTATTAAATAAACTCACTCAAAATCAATTTTATTCATTGCAAGAGGGTAACAAATCAAAGGACCAACTAGCAAACTTCAATCCCACGTTTAACTCTTTTAATTTGCATGTTTTGAAGACTTGTCTTAAACAATATCACATGATATCTTTTTTGCTCCACCCAATAGCAACGTTCCATTCCATCGTCGACATACACAAACCTACATTAAATTCAGTGCCGTTAACACGCAAAGTACACTCCCATTATTTACGTTAAAACCGTTGACAATGACATCTCACATTTTATAACCAACCCTAAAAAAAACCATAACACCCAATAAAAACTCACCACGTGTCAACCTATTTTTCCTTCTATTGAGGTATCAGATCCCAATTCCCAACACAACATTAGTTGTCACTCCTAGATTTTCTCCTTCTCGATTCTCTCTCTTTTTCTTTCCTCTCTCCAAAGCTTCAATTATTCTTCCAAAATCAAAAAACAATGGGAAACGCTCTCAGATTCCTCTACGGTCATTGTTGCAAACCAACAACTTCTGATGATCCACAATCACTTGGTCCACACGGTGTTTCTTCATCCACTGTTGGTCTCTCAGCTCTTGCACATGATCTCTTTCACTTCGAAAACACCTCCCAGGTACCTGTAACCTATCATCTTCCTTAAAACATCTTCAATTATGTTCAATTTCACCTTAAATTTGTTCTTTTTAGGTTCCGGAAGGACTAAGCAAACATGTTGTTTCTTCGAAAAAAGCTCAGGCTAATTGGTACGTATATAGTATAGTCTTCATGTTATTCATATGGTAATTAAATTGATTAATGTGAAAAGAGATTGTAAATTTGTGTACTGTTTTTGAATTAGGTTTAGAAAGTTAGTAGATGCTTGGAAAGATGCGAAACCTCCACCTAGAACACCTGAAGAAGCAGCTAGACTTGTTATTCTTACCTTGAAAGGCCATAAAAAAGCAGATGTTGAGGTTTTCATGTACTTCCAAACTTCAATTCTACTTATTTATTTGTTTATCAGTTTCAATGATGACGGTGTTGATTTGGGTTTGTCTGTTGATCCGCGCATTCACGCGTCAGATGGTCTAGATTTCAAATTTGCATTGAAATCCATAGAATTGCAGACCGCGTGAATGCATGGAATTAGTGACTGACAAATCCATATTTGTTATGATATAATAGAAACATATCTCATTAGAATTTTATGTTGCTTGGTTTATAGGGTTTGTTGACTTTCTATGGTCTTCCACTACCACATACCCTAGTTGAAGTAACTGCTCAACCTCCTACATCTTTGCCTCATGGAGTCAAATTTGAAATGCACACTTTGCCTGTAAGAATGAAACTCTAAAACTATCTCGGGTTCGATCAATTTTGGTTTTTAAGGTTGACAAAGTTGTAAAATGATGATTCAATCTTGTTGAATTATAAGCATATAGACATAGTTATGATGAACTTGTGGTAGTTGACATGATTCATGGTTTTTGCAATTGGACTAGGTTGATGCAAAAGCAGTGGCAGATGGTGATACTGTAACAGTTTATGTTAGCACAGCCGACCCTAGAGAGTCATCCGTTCTCCCTCGCAATGTTCATGAAGCAGCCTTGCATCGATCAGAAGCTCGTTCTAGAAGGAACTACGAAGAGGCGGATGCATTTCACAAACAGATTATCGATGCAGGATACCGGTTGGTTTATAGTTCTTCCTAATTCTCAATGTCTTTGTTTCTGAGTTCAAATTCTATATTGTTTTACTTTTAATTGTTTTGTTGTTTAGGATGATTCCATTTGAAAATGATGAAATCCTAGCTAAAAAGTATCGGATTCGACTAAGGTAATAATAGTCAAACAAACAAACAAGTATTGATCCGTTCTTGCATACGTAATGATGAACTCTACAAATTAAACAGGGGAATCGATGCGCCAGAAAGTGCAATGCCATATGGAAAAGAAGCGAAAATCGAACTGACAAAGATTCTTGAAGGAAAGTCTTTGAGGGTTCTTGTTTATGGAGAAGATCGGTATCAACGTTGTGTAGGTGACATCTATTGCGGTAACATTTTCGTACAGGTATTCATTTCATACATTCTAACTCTTTGCATCTTATCACTGTCAATGTTTTCTCACGTTGATTTTCTTTTATGATAAGGAATTTATGCTGAAAAAAGGCTTAGCATGGCACTATACAGCCTACGACAAACGACCGGAACTAGAAACGGTAAGCGCAAATGATGTGTCTTGAAATGCATCAGAGTGTTTAAAACGTATGTAGTGTGTACTTTTTGTACATTCAACAAGTACCAACACAGAACACACCAACGGATTGTATCAGATATCTTGAACAGATTTTCAAACGTGCACGAACTCTTGTTCGAGTTTTCTTCATTTTTCAAAGCTATATATATATATATATCCTAACTTTCTTATGTTTTTACACTAGTGGGAGAAAGAAGCGAGATCAAAGCGCGTTGGATTATGGGCTTCAAGAAATCCTGAGAAGCCATGGGAATGGAGAAAGAACAAACGAGGCGGTAATTAACATCGCCTAAAATGACACCAGCAAAGACGTTGTTGTTGAAGGAATTGCTGCATTGATGAGCACAGACTGAAATAATGTGGAACTAATGAATGCCTAATTGAAAGAAAATGCAAATGCTTTGTATATGTTCATTCTTTCAATATGTTTATAACTATACAAAATCAGTACTTGAAGTTAATATTTTATAGAGGGGAAGGATACAAAAAATTCATAGGGTGTGAAGGTGTTGGCTTCTAATGCTGAATGCCATTTGTATAAGTCAATTGTTGTTTTTATTCATGTGCAAAACACAATAAAGGATTACAAAATTGTCTTCTGTAAGTCTAAAACATTGAAGTTAACAGATTCAATTGCACCAAATAAGTTTTATGGTTATTATACAGTAAAATATTCCTTTGAATTTGAATCTTCTGTGACAAATACAACACAAAGTATTCCAATTTATTCATCTTTCTTGAATTCTATATGATGATTCACATTGTTCTGTACGATTTAACCATAATACATAAACAATGAACTTTTGTAATATGATACATTATTCAATTTTAATCTCTAAATTAAAAGTTATTAAACTTCTTTTGGACATAAGTTCCATTAACTATTAATCAGAAACTTGACGCCAGTTGTAATCATTGAGAAAGATTTGAACCACATCACGAAACCCCTCGGTAAATTATGTAATTATAAAATGAATTAAAAACTTGTCATAAACCAGGGAATGCTGCTTGTGGGGATTGATTATGTGTCAGAAAAAAAAAAGTTCATGCATGTATCATTAGTACAAACTATGTTTCCTGGAAACAAAACCTGGTTTCATATTCAGTCATAAATTTTACTGTCACGAAAAGGAACACAGTTAAGAATGAACTGTACAAGCTCTCCACAATCATATCAATGGATGTAAAGAAAGCCTCAAACAAGAATGAAAGTACTTAAATTTGACACAGACATCAACTAAATCAATTACATGCTGCTGTTGATAATCAACAGCTAAATTGTGTCGTGCCTCCTCAAATACACACGGTAGTTGGTCGATATAAGAAACTATGAGTAGGTTGAAAGGATTCCGAGTCTTTATCTTCAGGGACTAAGCAGATTCTCTTTCTATCAATGGCGGAGTTGGTGGAGTCATAGTTACATCTTTATCTTTTTCGGAAAGTTCTTCTTTTAAAGTAGATAGTGAACCATTTGGGCTATGATGTTCCGTGAAGAAACTGCTAGAACTTAGAGGACTCGACGGTTTGAATGTAGAAGGAGACGAGTTGGCACCAAGAGGGGAACTCGTACCCGATTTGGTCGAAGCCACACCTTCACGGCGCAGAGGTGAAATTGGCTGTTGGTCAACAGTGCTAAGTTCTTTGCTGAAGAATTTATCGTCTACAATATGATACGCGTCCCCTGTCCGTACCTCTTGAGCAAGAGTGCACCAACAACAGCATAGCCAAAGTGCACAATCAGAAACTGCAGGCTTGCCGAAACAGAAGTCATAAGTTGGCAAATTGTATCTCTTTCTCATTTGAATCCTCCAAAAGCCACCATAGAGTAAACCGAAAAAACATAGAACGATCCCAGCACCTACTAGCGCTTGCCTAACGGTATCGTCCTCAATATTAACAGCAGCCAAGATGAAAATCCAAAAGGGTGCCATACAGAACAGCATAAAAGTGGCAATGTGAACGTACATGTTTCCAAAGCCAAGTCTCTCCATATTCCAACCAAAGACGCAAAAAGTACAGAAAAGTGATAGATAGGCTTGAGAGATATCGTCCCAAATGTCAAGTATTCCACCACTCCAGTTTGGTCTATTTTCAACGGTTCTTCGTTTATCTTTTGGCGCAAATGAATATTTCCTCTCTAATGATGTCACTCTCATCTGCTCTGGCTTTTTATCAGCAGTAATTTGAACCTGTGATTCTTCGTCCGATCCAGACTCATAATCTTTACCTAGAGGACTAAGAATGGTATATAAACCAGCAATTGCAGGTGCACCAATCGCAAAAGATATACATATTCCAACACCGATGGCTGGCCGCTGAGATCTTTTATACCCTAAGTTTAGACCGCAAAGTGCATATTGAGCGAAACAGTTCACATGACCGAGAATTACCACTACCATTATGTGCATCCATTCATGCGGCTTATAAGTTCCATTCTTGCAATACTCCTTTCTAAGTTTGGCGATATCTTTCGGATTCCATCTGCATAAAAGTACAAGATGGTAGAATCTCTTCGGATGCTGATACAAGCACATCAGCGTAAACAACGCATTCAGTATTTGATTATTTACTTCAAACCACGCATTCCTTGCAGATTTCTTCGGCAGTACAGCATTCAACATACCAGTCATGACAAGGAACAAAATCGCACCCGAAACAGCAACACATAAAATCCACGCAAAAAGCGCCATGTTCATCGGGTTTCTAATCCATTCCATTGACATCTTCTTAATCGAATTCCAATCAAGTTTCTTAGCAAATATACCGCTGAATCGTTCTCTTAAACTATGCGAACTCGGAGAAGGCACAGACTGTGACGCCTGGTCCATCAGAGTTGCAAGCCGCTTGAATTTCACAGACGCGGAACCAAATTTCAAGAAGTTCATCCTATTAGGAATACCACTCAACTTACCCGGGAACTTTCTGTCAGGATTTTCACCGGTCACCAATGTTCTTCGAGAAGTCGAAATATCAATGGAAGTAAACTCTTCTGCTTTACTCCCATTATTATTATTATTATTACACTCTTCAATTTCTTCTTTACCATTATCAACCGAAACCATTATGATACTAACTCAGATCTTCCTCAATCAAAATCAAATTCTCACAAATCAACCGTAAAAGTACAGAACAAATACTGCAAGAACAAAAACATAACAAACTGTACTAAGTATTCAAATCCAAATCAAATTTCATATCATATACCTAAACAGATTCATCTCATGAAACAGATAACAAGATCATATAAAGCAATCTCAAATTTTCATCCAAAAAAAAACAAGATTCTGGCAAAAACCCTAGTAATCAAACATGCTGAAAAACCTAGAAAAAAATAATCAAAAAGTGATTATAAAAGTACCTGTAAACTGAGAAAACAAGAAGAAAGCGTTGAATCCAAGTAAGAGTTATATTCGGGAGAAAAACACAAAATCAAGAAACGGTTGATGAACTGTTTCAAACTATGTTCAAATGTAAAACAGAAGAACCGAATGAAATGGAACACGAATTGCTTTGGAACATGTTCAAAAAGGTTGCTAAATGCGACTTCCCAGAAGAAGAAAAAAGAAATGAGATAATAAAAAAATAAAAAATAAAAATTGATATTTGATGAGTGGAAAATAAAATACCTTTCTTTATTAAAAACTTTATTAAAAGAAAAACATTGAAAATTCAAACTTATCTAGAATAAATGTGTCACGGTAGAAGAAACAGACAAGTCTTAGTTTAACGTTTTGTGCCACGCGTTTTTATGTCCAATATATTTTTGACACGTGTTCAGTTGTTTCGGGAAAAGTAAAAATCTGTATAATTGAGTTAAAATTTAATTTGGAAATGCATGTTTAAGTAATTGTAAGCTGTCATGTTTATTCGTTTATTTGCGCCGTCGATGGTTACTGTTCAATAATGCAATGTATGACTTCATTGACCGGTTTGCATAGTTGAGCTACTTTCAATTAAATAATTTGACATGACAACATTTTCAAGAATTAGATATTACATTGTCGATTTTATTTTCTTATGTTTCTGTCTCATTAGCTACTTAATTTATGATTTCTGGTATGTCTGACTTTTTTTTCTTCTTCTTGTTCTTGTTTGGTTGTAGTGTGAAAATAGGCGATTTCAACCTAGTTGAAATTGATGGTTTTAAAGAAAACCTTAAATATTCTAGAAATTTTATTTTTGAAATCATGTATTGAATTTATTACAGACATCTAATTAATTTTTTGTATTATTTTTTAAAAATAAATTTTCTGTTTATATACTTCTTAAAGCATATGTCAGCATTACCCATACAACTATATAATTATAAACTTAAATTGTTTTTATCTTTTTAAAAAGTTTCATATCAAAAAGGATTTTTAATCAACAATGTTACCATTTAATTTCATATTCCATCCATTTTATTTGATACAAGTGTCATTTTTAAAATCAATTTAATTTTATCTTTCTCGTTTATATTTCATTTCACTTTGTATTCTCATTCAATTTTTTATACACTTTTTTATGGGTTGGACTTTAGGTGACTTTGAGGCAAAAATCACCATGCCTTTAGGGCTCGCTGTCACTAGTTCTCTCTCTCATTCCATTTCTCTTATTTTGGAAAATTGTTAATCTCGTCTTAAGTGGTAGAAAAACACTTATGAATATTAAAAATTACTTTTCACGTTTTGGAGATACATCTCTAAACACACCATTCACTTCAATCAAAACATTAAAACTGAGTCACGTCTTATATACTTTCAAAAATTATTTTTGAAAATGCATCTCAAGAATAATTCAATGTACACCTCATGCATTCATCACTGAAACACTTTATTTTGCATAAATTATTTCTGAGATGCATCTTCGTATTCACAATTCAGAAATACATCTCTATAACCACACCAGACAGTAGTTGTTGACTTTGATTTAGAGAAACTCTGATGAATTAGACAATATGTTATAACTATACTATCATTTTCTATTTGTTAGTATAAATTAAACCATACAACCGATATATATATATATATATATATATATATATATATATATATATATATATATATATATATATATATATATATATATATATATATATATATATATATATATATATATATATATATAAAACAAATTCAACTGATAATAAATTCAAAGTACAAATACTATAAATTACTACGTATGATGGGCTTGGGACCCCTTATTCATACGTTACCTCATGTACTGCAGCACCTCTCATGCCTTCGCCACCATGGGATCTACAACGTCCCTCGCCTTAAAGCCATCTAGGTAGAGTCTTTTGTCAATACCCATCTATCTAATCTTTATGACATGGCGACATCTAAACAACACATCAACAACATGGTCTGTCCAAGCTTGCTCCTCTTCTAGTATCTCCTGATGAGCTGACCTAAGTGGATCTTACGGAGCATCATGTATCATATAAGGATGTGACATCCTGAAGAGCCACCAGATGTAACTGTCTACATAGCTTCAGTCGCTAGGAGCTATGGTACTTCGTGCCTCATTTGGTACCATATGATTAAGATAATCATCAAACATAACATTCATATATCTACATATCATAGTGGGAGGAGCATACACATAAGTGTCTTTAAGAATAAAGTGCATGTAGTCGAACTGTTGAATGACGCGCTCAGGAAAATGAGGATACGTCATACGTGAACCGCAAGCCAACCATACAGATTATAAGGTTATATCATCAAAGGGACGTGTTCCACTGTGAGTGACGTAAGAATGGAAGTGTATGCCTTCTGTTACCAAGCGGTCAAGATACACTCGGTATAACTCTGTTGCTTGATTCCCTCTGAGCGGGACGAATGCAGAAGCATGTGGCATATCCTCAATGTATGTTGGAATATATGAGCAGCCATATCTGTATGAGAAGTGCTAGAGGATCCAAGCCTGAAATGGAACAGATGAATCATTATTAATGGCGTTGCAAAAGTGATATGAAAATGACACACAAACACTAAAAGATGCAGAAATATTATCGTCAATAATGTGATATTTCTTGTCACCTATTTGGTCTTTCACATACAACCTTCAAATAATTTGGAGTACAAGTATACCAAACAAGCAGCCCCTCAATTGTACTCATAGATCCGCTCAAAGTCATCGAAGTATCGCAGGTAGATGACATCCACATAAGTGACACTCTTGTCCACAAAAATGGACATGTCAACGAAATACAATAGGTATGCACTTATAGCATATGCTTTATGACACGCAACCTGTTCCTCATCAACAACATCCTTCTCTGTATCAAGCAGCTATTGTGTATACACCCTCTCTATGAATTGAAACCTAGCATGACACCCTCTAGTGGCCTCAAACTCATTCATGGCATCCTATGGGCCTACTCTCAGATAGGCTACCATCATCTCTAGTGCATAATTTATGTCAATCTTACTATGGTCTAAAAAACTTCCCCTAATATGAAGATGCAGTAGACACGATACATCGTTCAGTGTGATAGACATCTCACCATGAGAAATATGAAATGATGACGTCTTTGTGCGCCATCTCTCTATAAACGCAGACATCATACCATGGTTAATCGTAATATAATCGATCTTGCACAAGTCTCTCAGCCCAGATAGCGCAAAACATCCTAAAAATCTAACTCATTAGGTTGTTGCAGGTCCGTAATATTTCAGTCATGGTTGAAGAAATTTAAAACATCACGGTCCTACATAAAAATAAGTCATCGTCAGAAAGTTTTAATATTATAACTAACATGATATATAAAGAATGAACCTAACTAAATTTTACCTCTCCGTCCTAAACATGTTTGGAAATATGGTATAAGTAAAGAGGCAGTAGTGACAAGGTTTATAGGCCTCCTCCAAACCTCATAGGTGTTTGTAGTTCCTCTTGTTCCTTAGGTTCCTGTGGTGCCTTCTATTCTTATGGTGCTTGGGGTGTTGTCGCACCTCAAAAAATCACAAGGGATAATTCGGAAATACAACCCTCGCGCAAAAGGCGCGGAAATGCGGTTCGACAGAGTCGCCACCGAACTTTATTTTTCCCGAATGAACGGGAGAGGAAAATATCGAGAAAACCTCATAAACGCGGAAGGAACACGACCGTCGCAACCATATTCCTGGGTTCGGGAGTCGGTTACGCGAGGGGAAGGTATTAGCACCCCTCACGTCCGTCGTACTCGACGGGAACCTCTTAATTCGAGTTAATGGATGTTAGCTAAACTTAATTCTTCTCTTCTCGCTACTAAATGCTAAAACGGTACTATAAAGGGATAAAGACACTAGGGGAAAGGGGATGGTTAGAGGATAGGGTGCTCGCCAAGGATTGGGGCCCTTGTGCCTACGTATACTCATTCGGACGAGAATGAGAAATCAGAGCGTCGTAGTTCGACTACGGATAAGGATGGGGGAAAATGGAAGATGGAGGGCATTGTGCTCGCCAAGATCATCACAATCTTGTGCCTACGTATCTTACATTCAAGAGCGAATGAAGAATCAGAGCGTTCGTAGTTCGTGGATACGACCACGAAAGAAACAGGTTTGAATTAGATTTGAAGTGGATACGGATGACGACTACTTAAAGCTTAAGAAAGACTTCTCGGACCCAAGTAATCGGGAGAGTGAACCAAAGACTTGGAACTCTCTCTTTTTCATCTTGAAGATAAGGTTGTGTTTGAAAGGGTGAAGTTGAACTGATGACGATTACTTTAGCTTAAGAAAGATTTCTCGGACCAAAATAATCGGGAGGGCGAACCAAAGACTTGGAACACTCTCTTTTTCATCGTAAGAGAAGTTGTGTTTGAAAGGATGAGGTTGAAATGATGACGATTAATTGAAGCTTAGGAAAGACTTCTCAAACTCCAAATAATCGGGAGAGCGGACCAAAGACTTGGAACACTCTCTTTTTCATCGTGAAAGGAAAGTTGTTTGAGTTGGAGATAGTTGAACGATGTCGAGTTGTTAATGTTATTTAGAGGCGTCAATTATTCACACCCGAATAAGACAACTCGCATGTATACAACTGAAAGCAAGATCAAAGACTTGAACCTACTCTTTACGCCTTGAAAAGAATTAAA